CTCCACACATTTTAAAAATCAAGGGCATAACCTCTTGTATCATTTTTTGCTACTGTCCAAACAACAAAAAATTGCGACCTTTTTTTACTCTTTGTTGACTTGCAGTTTCTAAAAAAATATATACTCAAATAGAGCCCTTATTCACTCACAACTGTTTTTGTTATTGAAAAAAAATTGACTCCATTTTTCTATTGTTTGTACTGTTATTGATCATAGAAATGATGGCATAAAATATTGAAAACTTTAAAAACCACCAAGTTTTGGACATTTTATGACGTCATTTCTATGATCAATGAGAGCACAGACAATCCCTGTGGTGATATCAATGTTGGAAGCAGTTCCCAAGATATGGTCCCTCTTACTTGGTAGGGTTAAATTAATATTATAGCTTACTATGGGGAGTTGAGTTAACTATAATTATAATAGTGCCAATGATATTATTGTTAACTATCTTTATCTTTTTCTTTTCTCACAAGGCATTCCTATGGCTTCAGCTAAACTTATAGTGGCATGTGCCTTCAATGAAGTCCGAGTGGTAGACATATCACGTTCACAGTTGCAATCAGCTGCTAAAACATTAAAGGTTCCCATTAAAGAATCTGAATCAAGGTCAAAGGAAGTGTTGATTTCCAATGTTGCACAAGCTCTTGTCAGTAAAGGATTTGTTAAAATACCACCCAAAGAGAAAATTTCAAGAGATGATGTTCAGATCTTGAAGCCTTTTTAACTCACAACCTTGGTGGCCTTCCTGTTCCTGTTATGTACCTTAGAAAAAGCTGTTGGTGTCGTCTCTTTATCTATAAGTCATGAATCTCATCCTTCAATGTACTTAAGACATTCAATGGTACCGAAGAGAAAAATGTGTTAATATTATCACTTTTGGGCCAGCATTTACTTCTTATGGCTCATACTGTTAATATTTCTTTTTCCTGCTAAGTCAAATGTGTTCTATATTGTTGTCCTGTCTCAGGATTTTATGTGGTAAGTTAACATGTGCAGGTTTCTTTATATTGTACCAGTTTTTGTAATTACTAAAGATGTCAGCCTATTGTATTGCCAGGTGTTAGGCGGTCAAATCTTGTTCTGTTAATTATTGTCATTTCTGAAGGAAGACATTAAAACATTCATTATTGAAATGATTTAATTTCTAAACATCATTATTAGTTCTCAGTTTAACAGACTGGCACATATTACTGTAATGCAACCAATGAGCTAATTTAGTAATATTGAAGATATATATGCCAAGAAGAAAAACCACTGTGATGTGACACCCTTGGCAACGTCACAATAGTAAGAAATCCAAACCCAGGTATGGCTCTAGAAAAACCACTTATGGAATTGGAAACAATTCCATCAATGTTAACAGTTAAACCATGAATGTCATCATAAATAACATTAAGTGGTACTGCTTAAAAGCCAATAGTGGTTATAAATCAAAACCCAGAAATGTTCAAAGAAAACCATTCATGTGTTCTTAAGAAAAAACACCAATGTGTTTGTTTACAAACTAAAATGGGAATACCTTAAAACCCAAAAATGTTTTCAGGATTAACATTCATGGAAATGGAGGAAAATCCTGTAATGGTACTAGTAGAAACATTAATGTTTAAAAGGGAAAAAACATAATGGGATTTGCTTTTTACCACTAATGGTATAACTCAAAATCCCAGTAATGGAAAATATATTGCCATGAATGTTTTCTGTATAAAAAACATTAATGTTTTCAGTTCTGCTTTTCCATTAATGTATTTCAACATGTTATTCTATCATTTTCCATTAAAAAAAACAAGAATGATTTTTTTAATTTTTTTCCTGTGATCATAGCTCTAATAATTATTATTTATCTGTACCTTCTGTTTGATATGAGAAGTACTTTTCCTGACAGGGACTGTCCAACCTTTACAAATAATGGACTTCGAAGAAGACATCGAACCTAAAACAGAAATTATATTAGTTATGGAACAAATTAACCTACAAAGCAGGTGTATTTTGCAGTGCTAGGGATGATACTATTCTTGAAAGTAATGCTCTTCTGCCATGTAGGACGCTTCAACTGACAGAGATTTAGGGCTAGTCAACCAATATTGTTATTAATGATTCCAAGAGAGAGGTAGAAGTTGGAGAGGTTGTTTTTGTCTTTCAAGATAATGGTTGCAATCAATGTAATAAGCTTTCATTAAAGACAGAAAGAAAGAAACAACTTAAATATAGTGTATAGTTTGCCACGTAATTAAATCTTCTGGAATTTCTACATAATTTACAACATTTTTTGAGCCCTATCAGAAGGTCTCTGTTGAAGAAGAATTGCAAATATTTTGTTTTACCTGATACCAGTGAGTAAGGGGTTCCTGAGGAGCAGTGGAAAGCCATACTGGAACACTGTCAGGCAAAGTAAAACATCACTTTATAAGGAACAAATACAATCTTTAATCACCAAAAAGGGGAAAAATAAACAAGGATCTGTAGAACAATAGTTTATAAGTTTTGAAATAAGTACCAATTGACAATTTGGGACAAAAAAATTAATATAAGTAAAACAAATTTTTAATATGTAATGAGTATCTGAAAATCATGATTTGATTTACTCAGCAAAATACCCTTGAATTAACAAAGAAGTATATGATAAAAATGTGCATTTAGGTATAAGTTTTATTTCAAAAGCTTGATAAAATATTCAAGTCAAATTTAAATAGGATATGATATATAGTGACTTCACTTCAGCTTATTTTGCCATTGTTTAATACAAAATAATATTAACATAAGCCATGCATACTTCAGACACAATCATCAAATTAATAAATTTTGATCACAACAACTTACCTGCTACCTTGAAATAAAACATCAAACCAGAAAGCAAGACCGTGAACAGTGCCAGCTGAATGTACTACAAAGTGAAGGGGAATTTCTATCCTGAAATTTTAACATTCAAATTAATGGTTACAAAAAACCTCCAAGACATGTTAGTTCAAAAGTTTACTGATATATGATAATAAAAGATTTTTACACTGTGCATAACATGGCAAATTTTAACATCAATTGATCTAATAATTGAATGCAAGATGCCACTGCCATGCAGTTAGAAAACAAAAACAATACCAACTGATGAAAGTTGGTGTACCTGTGTAGATCTTCTTCAGCTGCACTAAGAAAGTCTACAGTATGTGTCACAGGCTTGGCCATCAGAATGCGTACATCAAAAGTATCCTAAAGAGAATTTCACAAAAGAAAGATTTGTATCTAACAGATAATTTCACAAAAAATTCCTATTTTTAAGGATCATTATTACATGTTTTGTGCTAAACACTTGACTTTGGCAAGAGTTCTCTATTGTAATAGTCAGAGTAATTTCTATATTACAAGCTGGACCCTACAAAGCTCAAAGTTAAATATGAAAACATGTTTTTAACATGGTGAAAACTATCATGGCTGTAGGAGAAATCACACAATGTGACCATTTAAAGAAAATAATAGAACTTTAACATTTCTTGATAGAAACACAGATGAGAAGTAGCAAGATTGTATAGTATTATGTTTATTCAAGTTATTCAGAAAATGATATTAGTAAATCTTTCGTCACTTTTTTTATCATGTGCATCCTTACAGCTTAAGTGTTAGGCCTTTTTTGATCAGAATGCAAAAGTCATACACTGTATTAAATCATTTTATAAAGGAAACAGTAATACATACAACAATCGGTTGTCGAAAATATTCCTCTAAGGCCGAGTCTCTCAGATTTGACAGATCCACTCCATAAAATGAATTTTGATACCTAAACAAATAATATGGAACACAATTCAGTATGTATATGTTACAGGTCAAATTTGTTTCAAGGCTAAAAGTTTTTAACCTTGGTTGACTCTTAATTTCCTTTGCTTTTAAGGGCTAAGAGTCACAGGAAATTGAGGATCAACCCTGGTTAAATCAACATTAACCTGAAGTCAAATTTGACCTGTAAACATACACATGTATAAAATTTACTGATTGGAAACCTACTTCATTATTCTGAAAACAAATCTCAAATATGGCACTAACCACTGCTTTATGGGGAGCAAGGATGGCGTAGTGGTAAGAGCACTTGCCTCCCGCAAATGTGGCCCGGGTTCAAATCCCAGCGTCGATACCATATGTGGGTTGAGCTTGTTGTTACAGGGTTGTCAGAAAGTTTTGAAGTAGACTGCTTAGTTGTCAAAGTAAGCGGCCAGTCCAGGGATATTTTATTTAAAAAACGTCATCTGTAAAGAAATGCCAAGCAGAGTAGCCGGCCAATACTAACCAAGTAGGTGGCTATTTTTGCCAGCAGCCAGCTACTTTTGACAACCCTGTGTTGGTTCTCTCCTTTGTTGTGAGAGGTTTTTCTCCGGGTACTCCAGTTTTCCCCTCTCTTAAAAAACCAACACTTCCAAAATAATTCCAATTCAACCAGGAATCAGGTAAACAAAGTACCACTCTGTGGATGTCCTACCTCAAATCATTATTTATTTATTCATTTACTTTAACTTTATACAGCAAATACCAACCAGAAGTTAGCTTTTGAAAAGTGTTCCATGTATAGAGCATCATCAAAAAATGGAGCAACGTGAAGATCTCCTCTGGTAGGGAACATTTTACCTGGTAACAAAGGGGAAAAAAAAAGAAAGAATGAAAGAAAGAAAAAATAATCAGGGTTGTCAGAAAGTTTTGACGTAGACAGCTGAGTTGTCAAAGTAAGTGACCAGTCCAGGGATATCTTATTTAAAAAACATCATTCGTAAAGAAATGCCAAGCAGAGTAGCTGGCCGCTACTAACCAAGTAGGCGGCGATTTTCACCAGCAGCTGGTTACTTTTGACAATCCTGATAAGAAAGGGAACTCTGAGTGTTTAAAAAAATTCAGGAAGAAATTTTGCTAAAAGGAAAGTTGGACTGTGCTTTTAAATATAATCCCAAGAAAATAACTCATTATGGTATGGGGTGGATGTTGGGAAATGGGAGGAAGAGACAGGAACTAACTGGGAAAAAAGATAAAAAGAAGGGTGTGAATTGGGGCAAAGGAAAAAAAACAGAATGAGAACTGGGAAGTGTGAAAAAGAGAAGGAACAAGGAGAAAAGAAACAGGGCTAGTTTCAACTCCCTTTTCGCACTTTTTATTCAGGAAACTACAGAAAGAAAATGGGAAATGAGAAAATGTGGTCAATTGAAGAAAATAAAATGAAAAAGATGGGAATTACCAGAAAAGTTGATTGGAGCTTGGAGAAAAAGTGGATTTATAGAGTTCTAATAACCTCTTGCACAGGTAGTAACTATAGATCATGTAGACATACCATCTGGTTTTAGCCATTTCTTGGCATGAAGATAACTTTCTAACATTCTCTCATTATATAACATGTATCCCATGGGTTCAGAAATGATTACATCAACTTTCTCAGGAATTTCCACCTACAAAATAAAAATAATTGTTAATTCTATTTCACTGAAACGTACTGTTTAATGGAGAGAAGAATTAGTGTGATGTCAAGTTACCATGGTAGCAAAATTTTCTGAAACTCAACAATCATTCTTGAAATAGTTTGCATTGTCCAATGATGGATGAAAAGTATGGGCTACCATTTTTTTCCCGAGTGCAATCATTCACAGGAAAGTCCTACAGGTCAATTTTTTTTGCTTTTTTTGCCGCATTTGTAGGACCATGGTTGGTTGAGATCAAAAAATTTGTACCATGGTAATGTGATGAAGTGACTGCTCATCTCTATAGCTTGATTGCAAGATCATACTATGTATTAAAGTTTTCCCAATGTTTCTTTTTTTGATTTTTTTGTACACGAAGCAACTGCATGAATGATTATTGTTTTACTAACAAATAAAACCAGCTTATTGCATCACCTCTTCCACTTTTCCAGGGATCAAAATGACTTTGTCAGACAAGTTATTTTGCTTTATCAAAGCCTATGAAATTGAGAGATAAAAAAATAATATTTACAACAAACATGTTCAGATGTCTCAGGCTATGCATGCATACGCATGTAACGTACATGACAACTGGATTTGCAAAATCCAGACTGTGCCATGAAGAGCATAAAAAATACTGCAAAGTTAGGAAAATAAGCCACAAGGCTTGTACTATTTCCAAAGGTAATTGGTCAAGTTGCCTGAAAGTTATCTCACTCAAAGTTATGCCACCAGAAACTAATGTTCTGTAGCCTTATATTTTTAGTTAAGTCGCCCGAAATGATGAGTTATGTTGCCTAAAATTTTATCAGGTGTACTACGTGGAAAAATAAAGTTAAATAATTATAAAGAGTTTTTGTGGTATAACATATTCTTTAAACCATCATAAGACGAGACATGTGGGATAAGTGTGTGATACATCTCACTCTTAAACCCTTGAAGAAATGAAACAAGTGCAATGAACCAGTAATATACCTTGTTCTTTATGCCTTGATGACACGAAACAAGCGTGGTTGGTGAGTAATAGGGATGTTAGGATGTTGTTGAGCATGATAAAATTTCAGGCGAGACAACTCAACATTGCAGGCAAATTAACTAAAAATATCGGGCAAAATAATTTTGGGCAAAATGATATCAGGCGACTTGACCTTAAACCTTTCCAAAGGTCCATAGCAAGAGGGAAGTATGAGATAACAGGAGTTAGAAGCATTTCAACTATAAAGGAGTAGTACCTCTGCATGTGTTGCCATTGTGCTGGCTTCGATAGCATACACCTTCCTCGCTCCAGCTTGTACGGCAAAAAATGACAAAATCCCTTCAAGAAAAATTCAAATGGTTAATAGTGAATAAAAAAAACATAACAGATGCATGCTGACAACAGTGCTGAGAGTTATAATAGTTGTCTACAGGTTACATGTATGATAACTGGTAAAACTTTCAATGAAAAGTGTAATTCCCACCTGAGCCAGCACCGACATCAATCACAACCTGTAAACAGACAAAGTCAGATAGTTTTATAACCTATAATGCAGAGTGCAGAGTGCAGAGTGCATAGCTAACTTCAACTACAGCAAGGTATTGCTGGTATTTAAACTTGGCAAAATTGCACTTGGATTTCTGTTATCTTTCACAAAACACAAAGCATATTTCACTTTTTTCACGACTGATAATTATTAAATACCTTGTCTTGAAAATCTGTACAGTTCTGCAACATTGCTCGTTGATATGTTGATGTTCTGATGTAATCCTAATTGATGAAAAAGAGTCACATTGCTTATTATTGCAAAGTACTTACCCACCTCTAGGGAAAGTTATGACAGGGTGATTTATCACTTACACTTTTACCATTCAAGCAACTTCTCTTAGGCATACATTTTGCATGGAGCTCCTCACTTTTTAGGATTTTACAAAAAGAATTTTGAAATTTTTATGGACTTTTTACCTTGACCACATCTAGAGGTGAGAGGGTTATGGTGTTACTACAAAAAACATTTTCTATATGTCCCCTACCTACTCACTGGCCTAATCACAAATTTTTTTCCTCAGTTTCACTAGTTTCATTTTGAAACAGCAAGAAGAAGTCAATCCAGGAAGAGTTTTGTCAGGCATACTTTTATTGATCATCATTTCCATCATCAAAGTCATTGTCTTTGTCATTGTCAACGCCATTTTCATCACCATGGTCACCGCTATGATCATCATCATCATTGTCAATCATCATCAACATCATCATCAACATCATCATCATGGCCATCAATCAGTCATTATCATTTTTATCATCATCTCATTTTCATTAATCATTCTTTAAAAAAGACCATTATTCCCAAGTAATTTGTACTTCTAATTACCTGCATCATATTCTGTTGTTGTGATAAATATCCATAAAACTGCAACAAAGCAATGAGTCATTTAGTCCTAAAATCAATGTAACTATGCTACCATGTTCTCCAAAGGACTTCTAGAACTAACAAAGAGGATTTGTGTGAAAAACAACCCCAGAGATCACTTGCTTTGACCCTGTGACCTTTAAACAGTCAACACTTATTTCCATCCGCCAAACTGATGTTGACAGATTAATGATTCGTACACAAAGTACGGGTTAGGGTTAGGGTTAGGGTTAGGGTTGTTGCTATATATATTCAAATCAAACCATTCATTGTCAGCAAATCCTCGGTGGTGAAGGGGTTAAAGTGATGCACTCTGATGCTCCAAGATCGAATCCTACTCGTGCCATTTCGATTTTTTTTTCCTTAAAAATTGAAGAGACTTAGACTTTTATAAACAGAAATTTCAAGAGACAGAGAAATTTCATGTAAGAAAAGTGAAATGTCTTGTGAGAGCCACTGAGAGGAAAATGTCAGTTTGGCAGATGGAAACAAGTGACAACTTCTTTAAGCAGGGCTTGAAAAAAGTCCCATCCAGTGGTCTGGGACAAAATTTTAATGCAGGGCAAGTAACTTTAAAAAGTCGACCATAAAGTTCTGAAAGTAATGAGCGTTGTTACATGTACTTTTGGATTTAGCACCCTTCTACTATTGCTACTTTCGGAGGCTCGCTACTTTTGGGGGATCGTTACTTTCGAATGACATAAACATGTACTCCAAATGGGCACTTCAAAAAATAAAATCGCAAAAAAAAAATGAAGGGAATACTTTTGAAAAAGGGTAGTGTTTATCCTGTACTTTAAGAGTTGTGAATAGGAATGTCAAATAATCATTATTGATATACCTCAGATCAGTGTTGCATTTCTTCAGGATGTCTATCATATCCATCATTTTTTTGCAAAAATGGGGAAATTAGTTTTGAGGTCTCTACTTTTGGAGGGTTGTTATTTTCGGAAGGATCGCTACATTCAGAAGTTTGCTACTTTCAAGGGGTTGTTACTTTCGGAACTTTTCGTTACTTGCCCGATAGGCAAGGCTCCAGGGAAGCCATCCTCTAAAAAAATCCTTGACCTGAGTAAGCAAAATTTGAGAGCTGCTTACCAGGACAAGCTGGAATTCAAGTTTTTTCAAGCCCTGTTTAGACATGGTGAATGACATGTTATGGGATGATATTTCATGACAATCTCTATAGTATGAGGGTGTTAAAACATTATTAAATAATGCCAGACAATACCAACCATAACAGAAGATCGGTTTGAGCTTTGTTTTATCAAAAAAATTCTAGGGTGAACAGGAATTATAGTTTTTCTTATTTTATGAGAGTTTGAAATTTGTTAAACACCTTTTAGGGAGTGAAAATAAGGAAGAGCACTGTTACATAAACTCACATGATGTCCGATATTTTACAGGAATTTTTGTGATGCAACTTAGAAAAGTATGCCCCGATAAAATAATAATTATTATTTCATGTAAAACTATGTTGTTAGTCAAATATGTTATCATTGGTTAAGATTTTAATTAACCCCACTGCTTGAAAGAAACTACCATACAGTCCCATACCCACAAAAAATATAAAAGATAAAATTTAAACCAAGAAAAAACTGAACCACAGCTAGAAAGAGAACAAGTTCATATTTTTGTTCAGAAGATCTTGCCTCCTCCTCGTCCTACAGTAAACCATGCAAGAATCAATATAGCACCAAAACCATTCTAGATGTTCTAACTGGCAAGTTGGATGCATGGCTATGCTTAAAGTGCATCAATTAAAATGAAAGAACTTCTGCAAAATTTTAACCTCAAATGGCAACTTTGAAATCCATTGAATGAATAAAACTTTACTGTAAAAGTAGTTCAATCACCTGTCTCCAGCAGCCATTTGCTTATTCTCACCTGAAAATATTGACTGGCTGAAGCTTTTTCTGTTCTTTCATTGAAAACTGAACGTTTTTTCATCCTACCAGTGGTTGCGTTTAGCAGCTCTTTAAAGTCAACGACATCTAGGAAAGTATGATATACACGTGTTTGCTGTCCTACATGTCAAAGAGCAGATCTACTGCTCTTTCTAGATTTATCTGACATAAAAAAATCTAAAATTTTGAAAAGCAGCTCTATAAAATTACACAACTGTCCCTGTGTATAGCAATATCTGAATATTACCCAAAAAAGAAGGGAAAACAGGGGCAGATCCAGAAAATTCAAAAAGGGGGCAGGGGGTACACTTGCCAGCTATATAGATACTATTTTATTTTACTTATATTCTTTAAAAAAGTACAAAATTTCAAAGAAAAAGGGGGGGGGGGGTTCACAGTCCCCTCAGAGTCCCCTTCAACCCGCCCAGGGAAACACAATTTCCCCCCACCCCAAAGAAAGTCTGACAACAGCCCCCCTTTAAAACCATGTAATAAGCCCAGGTTTCCCACCCTCCTTCCCATAGAAAAAAACTATAAAAAAAAAAACAACAGACACGCGAAAAGAAAAAAAATATAAAAAAAACAAAAAAAAAAGAGAAAAAGGGGGGAATAAAAAAAAAATAAAAAGGGGGGGATGGGGAAACTTTCCAAATATATAAAATTTTTTTTTTTTTTTCTTATTTTTTTAAAAAAAAAAAAAAATTACAAAAAAAAAGGGGGGGGGGGGGTTCACAGTCCCCTCAGAGTGCCCTTCAATCCGCCCATGGAAACATCATTGTCCCCCAGCCCAAAGAAAGTCTGAGCACAGCCTCCCGTTAATAACATGTAATAAGGCCAGGATTCGCATCCTGCTTGCCAAGATCTCAGTTGAGGGGCAGCCAAACTTTTCACTCAACACCACATAAATTTTATGAGGATGCCACGTACATGAGCTTAGCGTATACTATGCAGCACCTCGCTGTGATTCATGTTGGCTCTTATCAGTTTCATGCTTTAATGAAACCACCTTGCAAAAACACTACACAAACTTCTCTTTTGTTTCTTTCATTATCATGACAGCAATAAGAAGAAAAGGTTACTGATGTACCACTAAATAAATTACCTTTTCTGACTTTTGAATGAGTACTACCCATCAAACAAATGTCACATTTGATAGTTTAAAACAAACATTTACAAAAAGACTAGAAATATAAAACAGACGCAGTAATTCAACATCATTTGTTAAACAAATAATTTTTGGCAATGGTAAGTGAATTAACACACGTATATGGAGCGAATTGACACCAATCACTAAGGGACTGGAATTCACTTCACCTTGTAAATCTTAATAATGCATTTTCAAGAAATGGAAATATGTTTTGTCTCTCCGTTACAAGGCTAGTTTTTTATTTGTTTCCAGTAGTTTAAAAGTAAATAAAAAAATTATCAAAGGCCGTCTTTGTTTTTAAGTCATTTGGTCTCGTTTTTTGGTGGTAAGGGAATACACCTTAGAAACCCACTAATTAGCTATTAGGAAATGGATTCCATTAGTATCGCAACATCAAAAGGATATATAAGCTTAACTAAACCGTATTCATTATGTATGAGCTGGCTGGCAATCAAGCGTTGTTCGCGGGAAAGACACTTTTTTCACCCAACTGTTGGATTTATACTAACATATTTTTTGTAAAATTCTCTCATATTTACCTTCTCGATGCGTAAAGCTTAGAAGGACGCTCAAATTCTGCTCCGGTAGGTCGATCAAATACCTCAATCTTCCAATTTGGCAGTGATCGCTTTCTCTTGTAACTTTAAAACTAGGCATGTATTCATTACCTGAACAGGACAAAGCCGTCAACAAAATAAGTTACAAACCTTTCACCTTAAAGCTGCTAAGGAATATACAAATACGCGCTGTTGTCGACAAATATTACTCACCGCTTCGTATGCGAATATCGAGCGAGTTATTGTTTGTGTCGTCGAAAACATCCACGACACACTCGCCCCCATCTTGCGTGGAAAGCGAGTACTCGCCTGTGACAATCTGAAGCCTACAGTTCCGGAAAGTCTGCGACTTCATTCCGGCTTTAACATTCATCGCTGGGTCCATGAGAATTTCGCAGCGTAAATTAGGAAGCCAGCACAAAAACCTATATCCACGTGCAATGCAATTTGTCAATGAATTTTTATGTGTATTTCTTCATCACTTTTTGCGGTTTCCCAAGTGAAAGTTTAACGCGGGCTCAGATAGCCCCAGTCCTCTTTGGGCTCCGACAGTCGACAACGACAACTTCCTCTCACACTCACTGATTCGATAATTCAGTCAAATAAACGAACAGCCATCGGATGGATAATTCATCTAACCAATATTACAGATTTTAGGTAAAAATAGAATAAATAGTTACAATATTTTCTAAATAATCTAAAATAAAAATAAAAAATGATTGCTAGGAAAAGAAAAATCACTCATTATCTTTATAATTGTATTATTCTAAATATTATAACTATTATTGATTCCCTTTTTACTTAGTCTGTAATACTTTCCAACGCAGCTGTTCTTTATAACGTCACTCAATTAAAACACAAAATTTAAAATCCGGCGGACCCTAATAATTAGCCTGAGATCAGGCCCAATTTTAGCGGTTTTCTTACATTCTCTCTAACGGCTAACGTCTTGCAAACCCCTTGTAACCCATTGTAAACCCCTATAACCTCCTGTAACCCCGTCCGACCTCCTGTAACAATTGGTATCCCCCTGTATCCCCTTGTAACCGGTGATAAAACCCTTTGTAACCTCATGTACCTCGGTGTAACCCCTCTAACCTCCTGTAACCCCCTCTAATTCACGGTAACACTATCTTGGCAAGAATCTTGGCAAGAATTACTACGGAAATCTTGGAAAGAATTTTGGTAAGAATTAGTACGGGAATCTTGGAAAGAATCTTGGCAAGAATCTTGGTAAGAATTACTACGGGAATCTTGGCAAGAATATTGCTAAGAATTACTATGGGAATCTTGGCAAGAATCTCGGCAAGAATTACTACGGCAATCTTGGCAAGAATCTTGGTAAGAATTACCACGGGAATCTTAATTGGCAAGAATCTTGGCAAGAATTACTACGGGAATCTTGGGAAGAATCTTGGCAAGAATTACTATGGGAATCTTGGCAAGAGTATTGGTAAGAATTACTACGGGAATCTTGGCAAGAATACACCGTAATTTTTAGGGAGTTATTATAACTCCAAAAATGGAGTAAAAATTTTAGGTACAGGATAACCCCTTTTTTGGGGTTGTTTTAACTCCTAATTTAACTCCGAATTTGGGGTCATTTTTACTCCTGAAAAAGAGTTCTTTTTACTCCCAGTCTGGAGTTAAAATTACTCCGAAATGGGGTTACTTGTACTCCTTACATGGGTTGTTTTTACTCTTTTTGGAGTTAATTTAACTCTGAAAGTGGAGTAAAAATTTTAGGTACAGGATAACTCCTTTTTTGGGGTTATTTTAACTCCTCAATATCTGGGGTCACTTTTACTCCTGAAAAAGAGTTCTTTAAACTCCTTTTTGGAGTTAAAATAACTCCACGAAAAATAACTCCACTGTAAGGAGTTAAATTAGCCCCACTAGAGGAGTTATTATAACTCCCTGAAAATTACAGTGTAGTGGTAAGAATTACCACGGGAATCTTGGTAAGAATTACAACGGGAATCTTGGCAAGAATTTTGGTAAGAAGTACTACGGGAATCTTGGCAGGAATCTTGGCAAGAATTACTACGGGAATCTTGGCAAGGATCCTGGTAAGAATTACTACGGGAATCTTGGCAAAAATATTGGTAAAAATTACAACGGGAATATTGGCAAGAATCTTAACAAGAATTACTACAGGAATCTTTGCAAGAATCTTGGCAAGAATTACTACGGGAATCTTGGCAAGAATCTTGGTAAGAATTACTACGGGAATCTTGGCATGAATCTTGTTAAGAATTACTACGGGAATCTTGGCAAGAATCTTGGCAAGAATTACTGCGGGAATCTTGGCAAGAATTACTACGGGAATCTTGGCAAGAATCTTGGCAAGAATTACTACGGGACTCTTGGCAAGAATCTTGGTAAGAATTACTACGGAAATCTTGACAAGAATCTTTGTAAGAATTACTATGGGAATGTTGGCAAGAATCTTGGCAAGAATTAGTACGAGAATCTTGGGAAGAATCTTGGTAAGATTTACTAAGGGAATATTTGGAAGAATCTTGGCAAGAATTACTACGGGAATCTTGGCAAGAATCTTGGCAAGAATTAGTACGGAAATCTTGGCAAGAATGTTGGTAAAATACTTAAATACTACGGGAATCTTGGCAGGAATCTTGGCAAGAATTACTGCGGGAATCTTGGCAAGAATCTTGCTAAGAATTACAGTAAAATTCCGAAAATAAGCCCCGGGGCTTATATTTTTCAAAGGCCCTTTTTGAGGGGCTTATTTTTGGAGGGGCTTATCTATGGAGGGAAGTTTGCGTTTCAAAACCGATTGGGCTAGCTTTATAGTTGGAAGTAAATTTACCGTTTTTGCTTTGTTTTACTTTGTATTTGAGGGCAATTGTCCAAGTACAAGCCCCCGGGGGCTTATATTGGAGGGGCTATTTAACGGAGGGTTTTTTGCGTTACCGGTTTGGGGGGCTTGTACATAGAGGGGCTTATTTTCGGAATTTTACGGTATTACGGGAATCTTGGCAAGAATCTTGGCAAGAATTACTACGGGAATCTTGGCAAGAATCTTGGTAAGAATTACTACGGGAATCTTGGCATCTACCTCATCTACCTGGGGTCCCTTGCCCCCATGTAAACAGGTCCTAAAAAGAAGTTTCACGTCTCAGTCGTGCAAAACAACGGCAAGGAAATGTACAAAAAAGTGTGCTGCACGAGCAAAGTTGTTTTTTACCTAATTAGATCTTTTGTTTTTGTTTCATACCGCTCTCGTTGTTTTAACCCTCTCTTTAGTATTACTCGATTTTATATTTTCTTTGATGGAACTATAAATATTAAAGAGCGCTTCGTTTTTAGCCCTGGCTAAATCTATATATTAATCATATATGAAGTACTTCCCGTTACCACGAAAAGTGGTGCTGTGTTATTAAAGACAATGAAGGCCCGAGATTTCTTAAAACGTCATTCTGGGCCATTTTTATTAATTCTTCACTCGTTTGTTTGTTTGGTTTTTAGTAGCTGCCTGATGAGCATCATTAAGCGTGACGGTAGCTAAGTGTCTACCGTATTTATTCCAATAAGCGCCCAACCTCGAATTAGCGCCCACCTCGAATAAGCGCCCATGCTAAAGGCAGAAAAAGTTAATAAGCGCCCAGCCTCGAATAAGCGCCCACCCCACCCCACTCCCTCCAAAAACAACTCCAATAAGAGCCTGATAAGAGATAATAAGAAACCCTCCCGAAGACGGAGTTTTCTTCAGAGTATTTTACAGAAACCTTGCTTTGCTACATCTTCGCTTTTTGTTAGTACCATTTACTGTTTTATTGTAAAATATACTACTACACTTGCCGAGAATGGTGAAAATTTAATAAGCGCCCAGCCTCGAATAAACGCCCACCTCGAATAAGCGCCCACTCTAAAGGTCCAAAAAATTTAATAAGCGCCCAGGGCGGTTAATCGAATAAACACGGTAATTTCTCAAAGAAGCGAGTAAGGTGATGTACTTCGTTTCCGAATTCAGCTTGTTGCTCGTGGAACTGGAAAAATCGCCGCTCCGAAACGAAGTAGCTTCGGGACTCGACTAATGACGAATTTCTTGACCTGCCACGGTACACTTTGGAATTTGCGTCCACTTAAAATCACTACACGAGCGAAATTTTCGGGGTAGGTCGGAGTGGCTGTGGGTTTAGTAAAAATAGGAAAAAAGTGGGGGAAGGAACGAACGCCGTCAAAAATTTTGCCTTTCTCCCAGCATGAAATACAGTCGTGATGCTGAAAACGAAGGCAAGGCAAGGATGCACTAGAAAAAAAAAAGCTGCAACTCTTCCCAGGAAAAAATAACAAAAAAAAAACTTCACAGACAAAACAAGGCCTGAATTTTACTGTAAATTATGTCTCACTCTACCAAAATTATCATATCTCGATGAGCATTCGGAAGTCAGCCAAGCGCGGTCATTGCACGCGTGCTGAACAAGATGCCGAAAAATGCCCAAAATAAAGGGATGAATCTCATAGTTTATTAGATATAATCGTGTTAAGTTTGCTTATCATTTTCGCATAAATTTTGAGCTAAATTTGGAAACCGCTGAATTTCTCGAATTGGCTCTTTGCGATTTTGGTGAAACTCTGTTCAGCGCAAGGCACTAATGCGCACTATGTGTAGCCGAGAGATTTTCAAGAAAAAATGCCGGCAACAGCAGATTTTCGACACAGACCTCAAAGGGGCGTGGCATTATAACCACGTGACATTTTTTTTTTTTTGGAAACAAAAATATAATAACTTTAACTCGAGAAGGAAAAACTATTCTTAAACTATCTGATGTCGGTAGATTATATTTAACATAAATCAATTATCAAGGACACAAATGGACGTAAATTAAAAGGATGTATATCTAGCCGAATTTTTGAAAACATACCTCAAAATGGACCAGAATATTCGCACAGAAAGCTGGCGATCGCCAGCTTTCTGGTCACTGCGGTGCGAAAAAACATAGGGGGCTTGCTGTCCTGGTTGGTCTCATTGACAAGTTCAGTCCCTGAGCTAACTCGCCATGGGTTGGAAAGGGGCCTCCATGTCAATCCCTAGGGGGGTAGGGTGCTGAAAAAGCGTTGTACCTTCCGTTAGTCCTGGTCTGGGAGAGTCAGTGCACTGCTCATGTCTGCCTTTGGTTTGTCATGTCAAATTCTTGTAACGTTTGAGGCCCATTGGCCAATGAAAGCATTCCCCTTAAGCACGTGCTAGGCTGGGGGGGTGGAGGAAGTCAGGGGGGGTGATTTAACCTTGAATTTCTCTGCTTAGAACTTGCTTAAGTCTCAAGCGTCCTCCGTCATTCAGGGCCTTTAAGCAGCTAGAGTGTATGGACAAGTCCAGAGTGTCTTTTTGATGGACTGGAATGTTTCTTTTGCTAATCA